GAGTATCATAGAATGCCAATTTAATAGAAGAAAGTATTCTTGCGTTGAGGGAGTACTTGAGTGGAGGCCCAATGAGGTGACCAGATTTTAACATTGGTAAAGTGGGACACTATTGATAAAACTCATATCCTGGCGAAATAGCCACATGGCAGCCGAAAACCGTATACTCTAGCTTGTCGTGCATTCTTTCCAAAAATCGGGACTTTTTAAAAAGCTGCAGGATGTGGGAAAAACTGTTAAAAAGCGGGACGTCTGGTCACCTTAGGTTAGCACCCACTGCACCGCCAGAGCTTGTTGGTGGGAGGTGGGGTCAACGATAGCTTTTATGATCATATGACCCTTTTCCATTGTGACATCTAAAATAGTATAGTATTCTTTCCTTTTTATCATGGGGGAGAGATGTACCACAGATTAAGCAGTCTGAGAGCAGCTGATAAATTCTACATGTCTAGTACTGGGATGTTGAAACACACTGTGCTTAACGAAAGTGCAGGCGTGAATGACCAAAGGGCAGGAAATACAAGAAACAGCCTGCCATGTATGTCAAATGCCCAAGGTCTTCCTGAACCCGAAAGCACCGGACACGGTTTCATTTAATAGCCTCAGCTGGCTGCCTCAGAACGAATACCCTGTCTGACTGCTGCTCTGCCGACAGCAAGCTAGTGCGCTTTCAGGGGTCGCCATTCCCAGGCTGTACACAGCTTTCCCCTGCCTTCTCTGATAGAGGCTATTTTTGCTTTTGTTCGATGACAGAAACCCAAAACTGGTCTCCTTGGAATAAAAATCAACGGAGTTGTTGGTTAATTAAATGCCTTTGCTTTTCTGTTTGACAATCCCATGTGATTTCAGTGTTCTTTCTATCAGAGAGGAGCTCACACGAGCACTCCCTCCCCCCCTCAGTCCCCCATGTCCTGGCCATGGCAAAACTCACAGGGAAGCGGCCTTGGGAAGGATGTTCACAGAGGCAGCCAGTTTCTTATCCAGCAGGGCCCTAAAACAAAGAGAGGGTGACAGTGACTCGGGCATGTTGCCAGGATCTTAGAGAAGGGGCAAAGGAACAGGTGGTCCTAGGGATGACTCAGCACACCTGCGTCCAAGTAGATCACCATTTAGGATCCTCATCCTCCCATTCTCCCACCCAGCAAACCAACCCAGCCCATAGCCACCGCGCAGCGAACAGACGCCCACGCTCTGAAGTCCCGGTGTGGGTGGAGAGATAAGTAGGGAAGCAGTGACGAGGAAGTAGTTTTTCATTTTAAGGACAGGTGCAGCCCGTTTGGGGCAGAGGAATGAATTAACACTGGACCAGGAAGCAAGAGGACCTGGGCCCCATACCTGGCCCTGCAGAGGCCGGCTGTGTAACCTTAGGCAAGCGCTCGCTTTCAGGCCCGCATTAAGTATTTAAGCACCCAGTCTGAGATAGCCACCTGGGGTGGGCCGCCTCGCAGCTGACTGTCCTGCTGTGCAGAGAGGGCTGGTGGAGGGCAGGGCAGTGGTTTCTAGTCCTATTGTGGCAACAAACTCTTTTTCATTAAGCCACTTTCTTATGCTTTTATTGCTCAAGACACGTATCGGCTGCCAGTCAGTGCTTCTCATCTGTAGCTAACCCTGTGCCACACAGAGTTGATACGATTCCAAGCAAAAAGCACACAGGCCGCATCAAAGCCCATGTTTGCCTCTGGCACACCACATAGGCACTTGTCGCCTTCCACCTCATGGTCGCTGCACACCTCGAAGATTTTTTTTTTTTGACAGCGTACATTGGAATCTCTAGTCTGACTCTCTTAAGTCCCCCACGAGCTTTCAATCTCCGTGTGCTTCCTGTTCCTGTGCAGGGCACTGGTAAGACACGATGAAATGGGTTCCAATTAGTTCAGGGGTCACAGAAACAGAAGCACTGTCAAGTCATCCATGCAAGGAAGTGCTTCCTAGCGTCAGGATGCAAAGCCAGATCAGCCCTGGCAAACTGCTCAGCTCCGACAGACAGACTGGTCTGTTTGCTGATGCACTGGGACCCTGCGAAACAGACCTATCAGAGCCCTGCTCACTGATCCCTTCTTCCTCAGCTCCTGCCAGGAGACTTGACCTACTCTCTCTTCCCTTGAGTCCCAGACTAAACAGGGCTCTACTTAAGGCTCCATAGGAATGTTGCTGACTGCCATTCTCATTCCCGTGGAAAGCTCCGAGAGCCCAATAAATCCTGCACTAGGAGGAGAGGAGGCACGTGGGACGTTTTGGTTTAGGCAACTGCTATGTGTCTCATTCAACCATGACCTGAAAATATCCCATTTTATTGGTTGTAAAGCTGGCATGCAAACACTGGGACTGAGTTAAGCCTCTAGTTACAGCGGTTCGCAACCTGTGGTTGTGACCCCTTTGGGGTCGAACGACGCTTTCAGGGGTCACCCGATTCATAACAGTAGCAACATTACAGTTGTGAATTAGCAAAAAAATGATTTTATGGTTGTGGGGTCACCACAACATGAGGAACGGTATTAAAGGGCCATGGCATTAGGAAGGTTGAGAACCACTGCTCTAGGAAAAAAAAAAAATTACACTGTAGGAACACCTCAGCGGCTGACCAAAGAAACCTGTCCTTGGGTGAAAGGTTACAGAATTGTGGAGGGCTGTATTATTCAAGAAGGCCCTATAGTCAAAAGTTTTTTTTAAAGCATGAACAAGAAAGAGTTGATTGCCTCATGGTTGAGTGAGACACAGAGCAGTTGCCTAAACCACACCGAGCAAAGGAGCCATAGATGGGGTGCTCTGACCCTTCGGCGCACGTGAGGACGGCAGAAGATAGAATTCTAGCTAGTAGGGCCTCTGGAGGTGACCTAGTCCAGAGAGATCATGAACTAGTGATTCACAGACAAATACAAGGTTTGGCCCTCCTGGCATTTAAACACTGACTTTGTTACTACTATTTAATATCCAGTTGTTTCACACACAGATTATCAACTTTCTCTCTCACACATACACAGAAAGTCTATAACCTTGGGCCTGCAGTCCTACAAGGTCACCTTGAGCTAGAGCTGAGTGGTGGCTAGTCCCTGTAGGCCTGAAACACACTTTTCAGATCAACACAGTCCCTACTGCAGTCTTTCCTCCCAACACAGTCTGTATGCCACCCGGAAAAAAGGGGAGGCCTGTGACCTAGGATCATCCTTCACCGTTGATACCCCAGCCTACTTTACTCACTGATGTTGCATCTGTGATCATTTGTGTTTGCCACCCTGGTCTAATTTGGGCTTGTTGTTCTACACATATGGAGCCCAAAGCCCAGAAAGAACTTGTCTAAGGTCATCTGGGGAGTTGATGGCAGAGAGGAGATCAGAATCCAGGCTTCCTGACTCAGCATTCAGGATTGCCCCTGCCCACCCATCCCTAGTGGGAGCTCTTTCTAGTTATGAATGTGTCTGCCTGTCAATGATGGATCAAAGCCTACTGCCAGGATCCAGAACTGAAAGGAGGCAGAGTATGCGAAAGCAAGCATCGAACCTGAGCTAAAAGCTGGTCCCAAGGCTGGTCTTGCTGGTAAGTTTGAGTTTGCTGGGGGACATTTAAGGAATGCTCCTCCCCATGCACCTCCTTACCCTTCTTCCACAAGTCCTAGAAAATCAGCCTGTTTGCCTCTTTTCTAACCAAACCACTAAAAAACCTGAAATAATAATAATACTAAACAGAACAGACTGTGGCAAGCGGGCCATAGCGGCATCACTACAGATGTCTAGTTCAGCCGAACAGATACTGCAGCCTCCCCTTCTTACCACATCCTAGAAGGACCAAGAGTTATTACCCAGGTCAGAGCACACAAAGGAGCACATTTTACATGTCAGACCCTGTGCGGGAGACTCAGAGAATAGGAGATAGCCTGAGACGTGGGTGGGGTGGGAAGACGCAGAATGTGCGCTGCCGTAGTCGAGGAGAGCGGCACGCCAGGGCTGGCAGTGATGGGGACACCGCCAGACAGAGGAACTTAGAGGCGGCCATGAGCATGAAGATAGAGAAAAATCCTGAAAACGACTAGCACGAAAAAGCGTTGCCTACAAAGGAATGAGATCCCAAGGAAGGCTTAACTGAAGGGCAAACTTTGATGCAAGAAATCAGATATTTGTCTCCCAAGTTGATACTGATTCATTTGCTTGAACTTTCAACTAGCTAGACCCTCATGTATTTCTCCACTCTCCCCGAAACCCACAGGTATTAGTGGAAGTTGGTCCTGGATAGAACCCAGATTGACTATAATCCTGGGTATGTGTGTGGTGGTGGTGGTGGTGGTGGGGTGTCCAAAGAGAAGACAGCTTAGCACAAACCAGAAGCATCAGTAGACCAGTCTCTAGGTGCTAAACACTGGGGTCATAGTCCTGCCATAACCAAGGGTTCTAGGCAAGCACTCTTCTCCAGAGGTCCTGTGAATGAGGGAAGAGTTGGCATTCTGCTTGCAGGAGGGCATGATGGAATCAAATATTCCCTTTAGCTTGAAATCCCCAGTTGGGCTGTGTGCCCCAGAAACCCATACTTGACATTTTAAAACACTGGAACTTGGCCTGACCTTAACTTCAAGAATGCTAGGTTGTGGTGAAAGAAGAAAGGGAATAAGGAGCCCACCCCATTACCAATCCCCCAGCCCCATTAACCTTTGTCTATAAAGAGAAGCAGTGACGTTTAGATAGACCAAATCCTTTCTGAGCATCGACTATCTTCAGCTGCCAGGGTAATCCCCACAGTAACCCGGTGAGGTAGACGGTCATTATCCTAGCATCCAGAACACTGAAGTTTAGGGAAGGAAAATGTCTTGTCCCACAGTAAGGAGCAGAGTCAAGAGTCAAACCCTGTCTGATTCCAAGACCACTGCTCTTTCCACAGTACCACATCTGTTTCAAGAACGTTTACAAATACTCGGGCTGGCCTTGTCTTCGCGTGTCAGAGTGGGTGAGCACCTCTGGGCCTGAGCAAAGCAAATGCCTCCATGAAAGAAGCTCGAATCATCAGCCTGAAGGGGCCCACTGTTCTCTTACCTTCACACCTTGGGCGAGTCACCTGTTACTCTGGGTCTCATATCCCTCATCTGCCCCCACTAGACACGCAACATTTTCAGGCCTAGCAGCAGGACCCGTATCATCCAGCTGTGCTCCTAAAATCACCCCAAGTAGAGAGCTGTGTAGTTCATCCTGGGATGGACAGTTGGCAGAAGCCAGAGGAGAGCCCCAAAGTGGCCCCTCTGGAGCATTTTAGTGGCTCCCCAGGCGTCCTGGGGCAGCATCTGAGCCCTATCACCATACCTGGCAATGTCTCTGGCAATTTGCTCATTGGGACAGTTGGCAAAGACAATGGAGTGTGTGCCCGAGACATAGCTGCCAGTGACAGTTGAATGGAGCTGCAGGGTAAGGTTCCGGAGCATGGGGTATGTCAGGAAGGAAGCTGCCAGGATCTACAGGTGGGAAGGAAAAGCACAGGTCAGCAGAGGCACCCCTAAGTCCACCCCTCTTACCCCAAGCCCGCCGTGTCCCTTTTACATCAGAATTCCTGATGACTGTCATGAGCTTTGATGTGGAAACAGAGTTTTCACGACAATTTATATATGCATTTTACAGCTGAGAAAAATGGGGGGTTCAGACACCAACTTGTTCAAAATCATACAGCTTTTAACTGATGATGTCAGGATTAGGGCTCAAGTCTAGGTGACTTGAAATCCCTTCTGATGTGTACAAAATTACCTGAGGTCAAGTCCTGGTATACACTGAAATGCTACCACTTCATCGGTGGCGATACTTAGAGCAATGCTACGCGCTTAGGGCCACCGAGCACTGATGTTTCCGGGAGTGCTTGTATACAGGCACCAGACACTGGGTGATCCAGTGGGAAAGTGACACAAAAATCGACTGCTCCGGAAGTGTTGTGGCCTGTGCTGCTGTCACTGAGAACTGGGGAACCCGGAGGATGCCCCTACCTGAAGGAGTAAGAAAAAACTTTGAAAAGGAGATGCCACCTGACTTGGATCATAAGTACTATGTAGGCATCCAACAACATTTTTTTCGTTTATCTTAGTGGTGCGCATTTAAAGTAGGAGGAAAGAGAAACAGCTGGAAAATATTTTGTTCCAGGGCTCGAGGAATTCATTAACAGGGACCAGGGGCAACTTGCTAGAAGTCACAGGATGACTCAAGTGAAGGCTAAACAGGCTTCCCCCGCCTTCCAACCCAGGGCTCACATTTCATGATAAGGGACCTCTGTCCTCCCACTCATTTGATATTACCGCCAGGGTGCTGGCTCCTCCTCCCTGGCTGGGGGGCGGGGTCTGAGGAGCATTTTTGTCTCCAGCTTCTTTTTGACTCAGGCCAGTGGAGGCTGGGCATTTCATCCCCTCCCACCACCTACACCAAAGCCTCCAATCCAACATTCTCATCCACTGAGCTGCACCAGGGACCATGCAAGAAAAGGAAAGGAAATGGGCTTTTCAGTGAAGCTTTTTATTTTATTTTTTTTTTCATTTTGATGGCAACTAATTTAGCTTTTAGAGGGAGAAAAACCACAGATCAAGATATGGATCCAAGGTGCCAGGCCTGCTAGCTACCCGTGGCCTCTTCTCCCTTCAGTCTCCTCACTGTGCAACCAGGGACTGTGACACATGTGCTAGCTACCTCCCAGCCTTGCCACGGGGCTCAAACAGGATATAGAAAGCGTGTGTAATAACTAATTTAATAAAGGCAGGAGCCATGTTTTGCTCATTACTGTAGCCCCAGCATGGCACACAGCAGGTTCTGCATACTTGACCAGTGAATTCCTAAACCAGAAGATTCTGTTACTGAGACTCTACCTAGCCTTTTGAAGTGGGTAGGGCTTTTGGATCACCATGTTAGCGATGTTCTCCACAGGGAATTGCTCTGGGAGATGCAGGGTTACACAATGCCTGGCCCAGGCTCCAAACAAAAGGAGTCCTCCCAGGGGGTGGGTGGCACACAGTGGAATGAAGGTGCTGACAAGGCTGTGGGGGGAGGGGCGAGCCATACTGGCCTGTTTTCCAACCCACAGGCCGTTCCTTGACAAGATGGGGCATTTCAGCAAGCAGGTTTCAGTGCAGAGCTAATACAATTAAACAGAAACTCATCTCAAACGTGTTGAGAATCTTCTATGCGCTCATAAAGCCAGTATCTTAAAGGTAAATGTGCCTTCTAACTCATTCACTGTCATCCAGTCTAGGCTGACTCATAGTGACCCCCCTGTGGGTTTCTGAGAGTATAACTGTGTATGGGAGTAGAAAGCCCAGTTTTTCTCCCAAGGAGCTGTTGGTGGTTTCGAACTGATAACCATGCAGTAGCAGTCCAACGCACAGTGATTACATCACCGGGTAACATCAAAAACAACCCTTTGTTGAATATATAAGGAAACCCAGACAGAACATTCGGAAACTCAATGGCAGAATCAGGACTTGAATTCAAGTCTTATATTTTAGGCTCTTTGGACTGCAGTGCACATACCCAGGAGTGGAGAGCGGGCCATTTCAGCCTCACTGAACCAAGAGCGTGTCTAGTCTCAAGAACGTTTTTGCACCCCTAAGTAACAAAACAGGGAGAAAGGTGAGGCCTTCTACTCCTGCAAAGAGTTACAGTCTCGGATACCCAGAGGGTGGTTCTACTCTGTCCTGTCGGGTCACTGAGTCTGGATTAACTCCATGGCAGTGAGTCTGTTCTGTCTTTTCAGGTTAACAAGGTTGGGAGACATTTTTGATTCTCACAACTGGGGTGGGGGCAGGACTGGCATCTGGTGGAGAGGGGCCAGGAAGGCTGGTAATCTCCCCGTTGTACAATTCATCACATAGACGGCCTCATTTACCTGTGCCTCCCCCATTGGATGGGAGCTCTTCAGAGTCTCATTCCTTTCAGTAGGCTGAGCACCTTGCTACCCCTGGCAGGGAGCAGGGGCTTGAGGAATGTTTGCAGGACACATCAACAAAGTATCATCCAGAAAGAAGCACGAAAGGTCAGTGGGGAAGCTGGGGTGGATGCAGTAGTTTGGAAGGTGACAAGATAACAGGAATTCAAAATTAATGGAAAATATGCCTATCACACTACTCCTTAGCAGAAATACTTCTTCTGATAGTATTTATTACTATGGTATCAAATTACTGTAATTTTTTAAAGAAAAGCTTGCAGGTTATGTTCCAACAATTCCTTGTACCGTCTTTTATGCTACACCTTTGTTCATTTCACAGTATTTACATCCTCTTGCAGGGGTTTCTTAATCCACTCTGCCTTTTTCCTTTCTGTCCTGGAGTATTCACTATGGTGAGAAGTTGTAATTGACCTCACAGCCACCGTAGGGAGGCAGAAAGGGGTTCCGAAAGCAATCTAAACCCATGGCTCTAAACTTGGATTCTGAGTGTTTTGAATCTGAGACTATCCTGAAATTGAACACATGGTGTGTGTGTGTGTGTGTGTGTATACTTTCCCAGGTGTTGCTCCGGAATTTTAAAAACAAACAACACACCCCCCCATCCCTTTCAGGGATCTACAATTGCAAAATAGTTAATAGCCACTGATCTAGCCCCAAGCCTGTGCCATTTTTCACAGCCAAATACGGGGCCGAAAGTGGGGCACAGGATCACCTGAAAAGTGAACAGCGGAGCTGGGCTGGAATCCTGGGCTCTGACAACCCCCAGCCCCAGTTACTCAGCGTCACTTCCAACCGTAACCTTTTACTTTCCGAGAGGGATAACAGAGCTCCCAGGAAATGACGGAGAAGTTATCATAGTAACCGCTGTAGGCGGTGGTCAAGAATCTTTCACGTGACCCTTAGGTAAGTCCTCACCAGCGGACCAGCCCCTTCCCTTGCCCAACCTGGCTAGGAACCTGCGGCCGCCTCTCCGGATGGCAGGGAGAGTAGGGGTGCTGGTCGGCTCCGTTAGAAACAACCTAATCCTCCTCCAAGGCCCTCACCTTTCAGCCCACCCCAGGGTAGCGAAGACAAATTCGCCTTCGTTCCCTCCCTCGCAGCCCGTGGGTTCCCCGCGGCGTGGAGAACTCACCAGGAAGCACACGAGGGCAGAGGGCCGCGGGCAGCTGGGCAGAGGGCACCGCGAACCCAGCTTGTCCATGGCGTCTTTGCCGCGGCAGCAACCAGGGCCAGGGGCCGTCCCAAGCGGAACTGCCCGTGGCCTTCAACTGCCACTTTGCACCTGCTGCGGGCCGCACGGCCCCGCCCCGCCGGGAAGAAAACAGTGGGAGGGCCAGCGGAATCCGCAACAGACAACCGCTCCGGAAACCCACACACCCTACAAAAAGAAAAGTACTTTCCCTCCTGGTCCAAGCAAACCGAATTCCTAGCGATGCAGTTCTCAGATGAACAAACCTCCAGAGCCATGCTGCTCTGCCACTTCAGGGGCCCCAACAGGCCACAGAGCTCCCCCTCCCTGGAGCTGCCTTCTAACCCTCGTTGGCTTTGAACACGCTGGCTCTCTACCGCCCTTCCACGTAAACTCTTCCGTCTTCCCAGGCCGCAGTTCGTGCAGCTTTTCCCAGAACCCACCATTCTTCTATTCGGCTAAGGCGCCGTGCACACCCGTTGAAGCATTTAACGAAATTGGGCGGGCCTACAAACAAACAAGAAAAGCGGCAGCTAATTGGGAGACTTTTGCCCTTTTAGAGAATACATAGTTCACCGTTCCCTGGGTTTCCTTTTTTAAAACCAGCTTTTCATGTGAAATACATTAACTTAAAAATAACCACCCTAGAGCTGGGGGGGTGGGGGGTGGGGCAGCAGGGGGAAGGAGATTGAGGGCACAAAAGAAACTTCTGATGTTCTGTATCTTGAGTGTAAAGATGATTATGCAATTGTATGTTATCAACATTCAACACACTGTACACTTTAATGGGTGCAATTCACGGTACGCAATGCAATTCACGGTATGTAAATAAGTTACAGAGAGGGGTTAGAATAGCGTCAGCCAGTTCGAAATATTTTCATCCGGGCAGGCCAAACAGCATCCACACAGTTAAAGCTGCCCTGAGATGCCAGTTCACAGCCTCTAGGCTCACTGTAATCATCTGTGTTGCAGTCTGTTGTCCAACTCTAGGTACAAATTCTTGAAGGTCTAATACACTCCCTGGCAGAGTAGCTAACAAACCATCGTAGCCCTAGTCCTGCCATTTATATCCTTAGCTGTGCACACTCAGAAGTTACTTTAACCTCTCAGCTTGTGTTGGGGGGTGGGGTGGGGTGGTGGTGCAGGTAAAGTTAGGACTAACAGCTTCGTAAGGCTAAAGTGCCTATTTACAGAAAATGAATATAAGAGTGCATCATAAACTGTAAGGAAAGCCCTGTCACCATTTCAAGAGCAAGAATGTGCATGCTAGCTGCCAAGGTTAACTCAAGAAAACTTCCATGAGTGAATGATAGGCTTAGGATCTCTGGGGAAAATTTCGTTAGAGAATATACAGCTAAGTGGTTCTTTGAAACCCCTTCCTATTTTAAGTCTACTCAATCAAGACAGTGATTTTTAAAAAAATACTTATTACACAAATAAGAATGCAATTACCTCAGATCCTGGCATGATTTCCTGCAATATCGAGGGCTTAGCACAGGACCCTGCACAATGCAGTATGCATTTGGTGAGTGACTACACGGTAAGGGTGTCTGGATGGTATCAGGATGAGGGTGGGCAATGAAGGTGATAGTGGGGTAACGGGGAAGGATGGCAAGAAATGAAATGCTACTTAGGAAGAAGCCTCTGAGATTTTCTTCTTCCTTCATTCAGTCCAGGTTGGTTTTTTTTTTTACTGTCTCCAGGTCCAAGATTAAATTCCAAAAATTGAATTCTGCATTTGTGGCTTTGGCAGTCTTCAAAGCAAAGGAGCCCTAGTGGCACTATTGAGAACTGGTCTGTTAAACGCAAGGTGGATGCTTCAAAACACAAACTGCTCTGCGGATGAAGTTGAGGCTAACTGCTTCCATATAGATTTACAGCCTTGGAAAGCCTATCTAAAGTCACCGTGAGTCAGAGTTGACTCCAGGCAGTAGGTGGGCTATAAGAACAGTCTGAATTGCCACTGTTTGGTGTAGTATCTGCTTCAATTATTTGGATTCCAGATCTTAAGGACGAGTAAATGAGCCTGGTTAATTTCAGACCTGCCATTTGTTCTTTAAGGCTCTACACCCTTGCTGAGTATTTGCATTCCCCCCTCAATATACTGAATCAGTGTTCACATTTTAACAAGTTCTTAGATTTTCAGGTAATACCATCACCTCTGCTAAACAGAATAAAGTGTTGTAACACTTTGGGTGACTGGGTCTTCTGTGCACAATTAGCAACACTCTAAATTCACGATTTGTTAAATAGCGTTGGGCTTGGAAGAACAAAGCAATTGTGATATCAATCCGTTGAGAAGGCAGTGGTGACTTGATACTTTGAGATGTAATCGGAAATAAGGAGGGCTCCAAAAACCTTTCTCCTTGAAATTGGTGGGATTTGTTTTTGTAAGGTAGCTACAGGTTTATCACTTTATCACCAAAACGAGAGAGGGAAATCGTGTCTTTAGCTTCCTTTCTAGATGGTTGTCTTTCTCTCTCTAGTACGTGAAGGCGTGCATTGTCCAAACAGGCTCTATCTCCCGGTGTTGAGGCACTTAAGCCTTACGCGCTGATCAGACTCTGCAGACGACTGGAATACTTGGGGGTCGACTCAACATGTAATGGTTCTTCCCTTGTCAACCTCGCATTCCGCAGATAGTAGCGATTTTAAAACTCAAACCACCTCTTGCCCGCATGAAATTTCTCGGGATTGCCATTTCCCGTAGATTCCACAGTTGCTTGTAAATGCATTTGGCCTGGTTGCAAGGGACGGCAAGGTCAATTTAACTGGGTCTTCATCTTCTCGTTTGTACCTGGGGTACGCACAGCATCTTGATGCAAACGGACGAAACACACTCATGCTGGCCCTAACCCCCTTCTTCTGGTGCTTCGTAATGGTGCCCCCCTAGGCCCAATAATGCAAAAAGACGCTCCACCTCGGTCTTACTCACGCCTTCGTCCAAATTATGGAGAAATTGCATGCTGTCTTACAGAGACCTGGCCCTCCGCGTCCCCTAGATACGAGTCTGTGATGGGATCTCGATTCCCCCCACCGTCTCCACTCGGCCTGGTGTGGCCTGGGCTGTGGCGAAGGCCACGGCGGCCTCTACAACGGCTGCTGCCAAAATCCAGGTTTGAGAGTCTGGAAGGGCGCCCGCGAAGCCACCGAACCTTTGGTTCGTACCCATCCTCAATGCGGGGCATCTTTTCGAGCCTTCGCTCCCCGTGGCAGAAATCCAAACCGACTGGAATATCCGATTAAGTGCCCAACCAAGCAGCGCTTGGGGCGGTCCACCAGCCCTAACAAACAATCAAGGGCGATCGCTGACTCGACCCTACCGAATCTGGTCGCGCCAGGACCGACAGCCCCTAAACGCGCTGATTGCCACCTCGGCCTTGCGATTGGTTCGGCCTGGGAGTTCTCACGGCCAGCACGCCGGAAGGGAGGCGGCTCTCGGTAGATCTCGCGAGACTGGACGGACCGCGCCGGGATCCGCGACTCGGGGCTTCCGGTTGGCGAGCCCCTAGCCTGAGCGGGGCAAGATGGCTGCGCAGGTGCTCAGCCTGCTGCGGGAGGTCTCGCGGCTGGAAGCCCCTCTGGAGGAGCTGCGCGCGCTTCTTTCCGTGCTGCAGGCCGTGCCGCTCAGCGAGCTCCGAGAGCAAGTGGCGGAGATGCGCCTCGGCCCGCTCTTCTCCCTGCTCAACCAGAACCATCGGTGAGCGAAGATCCCGGAGCCTGAGTGGGCAGGCACACCCCCAAGTCGGGGGACTGGGTGGAGGGGTGAGCTTCCCAGTCGCAGAGAATGTAGGACAGTGGCCGGCATTTCAGAGGGGTAAGGGCCCTGGGGGAGAAAGACGGGGCTTTCTACTTCCATAAATAGTTGCAGTCTCGGAAACTCAAGGCAGGGCAGTTCTGTCCTGTCCTCTAGTCCCTAGGCGTCGGCTTCGACTTGATGGCAGGGAGACTAGGAAGGACCCTGGGCGGAGAAGCAAAGACGGGGCCTCTAGGCCCCCTCTGCGGTGCTAGTTTTCTCCGGCCGCTTGGCCTCACCTCCCGCTTCTTTGAGATAGGAGTTGGCGGAGCAAAGCAGTCGTTTTGCTAATGGCGCACCCACAGGAAGGATTCCACGTGTGTCGGTCACTTTTTAAACCCCCCTTCTCCTTCAAAAGGCACCCTGTCTTGACAGTTTGGCAAGCTTCTTCCACATTTTCAGTTCACACACTTTTGATCGAGTAATTCTTGGTATAGAAATTCAAAATCGAGGTCTGTTGTAGTTGTTAGGTCCTGCCATGTCGGTGCCCACTCGGAGCGACCCTCAGCATAAGGAACAGGAGACCTTGCCCGGTGCCGCAGCATCCTCGCACTGGTTCCTCTGCTTGAGCCCGTTGTACAAGTAGGGGGAAATTCGTAATGGAAAACCAGCAACCACAAAAAGAGTGAGGTAGATTTGTATAGCTGAGGTGGAAAGAACGCTTGTTGGATGAAAGGAAACAGTGCAGATGTGTCGATCCTATTATGTGATACGTTTTCAAAGGATTGACCCCCCCAAAAAAAACAAACCATGGGAAGATCTAAAAAGAAAACAGCAGAAACTGTGAACAGTGCTGCCCATGGAAGTGGGACTTGGGAGCACCTTTTACTCTTCACCATATCTGCCTGTACCTATTTTGTTTAAGAAAAAATGTGTTTCGATAAAATGAGGAGCTTGATGCCATGGGCTTAGGTGGAGAGCAAATGTTTTGAGAATGATGAGGGCAATGAATGTACAAATGTGGTTTACACAAGTGACATGTATGGATCGTGATAAGAGTTGTATGAGCCCCAAATAAAATGATTTTTAAAAGGGGAAAAAGTGTTTCTAATATTTAAATATGTATAATCTAGAAATTTTAAAATGACTTTTGTACTATTCTGCCTCAAAGCAAAATGTAATTCTGATTCATACTAGACATGGATAAACTTTGAAATGTCAGGCACAAAAGGGAAAATATCATATCCCACTTCCATGAAATCATCTAGAATCTGAAAATGCACAGAGAAAAACGGACATGAGTGGTTACCAGGGACTTGGGAGAGAGAGAATGGAGTTATTGCTTAAGAGTTACTGAGTGTCTGGTTCATTCATAGGGACGCTATTGAACAGAGTAGAACTGCCATTTGGGTTTCCAAAACTAACTTTATGAGAGTAGAAAGCCTTATCTTTATCCCACTGAGTGGCTGGTGGTTTTGAACTGCATACCTTGCAATTAGCAGCCCAGTGTGTAACTCATGGTGCCACCATAGTTCTAGGGTCACTGTCAGTCAGAATCGACTTGATGGCAGTGAGTGAGTAAGTGAACTTGTTTGGGGTGATTAAAACCCTTTAGAAATAGCTGCACAACAGGTGAGTGTAATGAATGTCACTGAATTGTACATTTAGGATGGTTTCGTTGGGAAATTTTTGTTGCATATGTTTTGCAATCAAAGGGAAAAAATCTTTCTGCTTGAGCAAGTAGTCACTGGGCTCTGACCGCCCCTTTTTCTTTTTCTTTTTCAATTTCTTAAATTTATTATACTATCAATTTTATTCGAACTAGGTCACAATGAAATATTTTCCAATTCACTTGCTTGGGCCGCCCCTTTTTCTTACTTACTCCCAGTTCATTAAAATATTGGCCACAATTCTTTCACGTCTGCAGTCAGATAGCTCTTACTTAGCCTGTCTTTGACACGGCCCTCATTCACTCCCTTTTGCATTAGTCTGACATCTCATGACCTTCCTGATTTAGAGTATTCTTCACACATTGCAGCAGTAGTAAACTTTTTAGGCTCAAATCTTAACCAGAATTTCCTATTGGTAAAAATTTCTCACCAATTAATGTGATGTTTAGACCCTAGGCAAGTATATGTCTACCCTACTTTCCAGCCTCATTTTCCCTGTGCTCTGGTTCTACACTTAGTTTCCTCTGTTCAGCTACCACGGCACTCACAGCTGCTTTTTCCTTCAGCATGACTTTCAAGTTTCTAACTACGGTATGTACTTGTGTATAAGCCAAGTTTTTTTCGACACATTTTTAATGCAGTTTTTGTGGTAAAATTAGGTGCCTCGGCTGATACTCGGGTTGGCTAATACTCGAGTATATACCGTATGTTTGTGTTAGTCTTTCTAACTGAAATACCCTCCCCCATCCCCAAATTCTATCCCTTTTAAGGCCCAGCTAAAGTGCCAGCCCTTCCTAAAAATCTTTCTTAATTATTCCAATTGAGTGACTGCTCCCCCCCATCTCCTGAAGGACATTATGATTGTTAATAATATTTATCATGTGGTCCTATGCTATAGTTCAGTGTGTGTTCATTTCTAGTTTTCAAGTTTTTTAAAGGGAGAGACCGTTATTTGTTTATCTCTGCGTGCCTTTCAGGGCCTGGCACAATATATGGATAAGACATGCCCAATAAAAGATTAGACTCAACAAAGTTTAGAGAGGCCACCTAGTTTAACCTCTTCATGTTATAGATGAAGATTTCTCTTTTTTCCATTTTATAGGAAGCTCTTACATATAACCTTCCATAGTTAAGTCACATCAAGCAGTGTTGTACAGTTGCTACCTCAGTCAGTTTCAAAACATCTTTCTTGAACTCCTTGATATCAGCCCCCCCTCCCCCGCCAGGAACCCTTATTTTAATTATACTTTTTTTGGCCGCATCTTACACCTAGATGAAGATATTTAATTGAAGGTCATACCACAAGTTAGCAGAGCTGCAGTAGGAACTCACATGAAGGGGAGATTTAGGAATCGGACCTATGGGCGAGGATTGTTCGTTGAGCAGTGGGAATTTAGTAGAAAAAGAGCATATTTCAGAGTTGGATACATAGTAGAGGCCAGTTTGAATTTGGGGGTAATATTCTCCAAATCATATCGTGGCTGTCAGATCTATTCCATTATAAGACTTTTGAAGGGCATCTTGAGGTAACATGGAAAAGAATAAGAATGAGACACACAATCTGTGCTGTCTGAGCTGGTGAGGAGAGACTCACCTCTGCGGAGACTTAGTTTGCTTGCTATAAGGCAGGCAGGCATTACATGAGCTATTATGTGTGAGGTTTTCTTTTAAAGTTCATGGAAAATGGAGTTAAAGGTAACTTCCACAAACATTTTGAAACCCTCTTATCTAAAGGGCTTAGTACAGTGCAATATCTCAAGAAAACTTTAGTCATATTTAATATTATCATTTATCTTGGCCCAGCCTCATAGGTTTTTATATCTTGACTATATCTGGCCTACCAGTAAATTCAGAATTTTGACAGTTATTCTCTTAAAGGAGAGCGTATTCTAATATACAGCTCTATACCTCCAAGTCAGAAAGGACCGACTATCGGCTATTAACTCTGGTTTGGTACCAAAGGGCTACAGGTGACTTGAAATTTGTTCACTATCCAGCTTTTTTTAACCTTCTGTTCCTTTGTTGATAGATAATTTATATGCCATAAACTGCACATATTTAAGATGTACAACTTGCTATTTTGATGTGTATGTACACTCACTTATATATTGGCGCTTCAGAACATTCACAGAAAAATCTTAACCTTTGTGTTCCATTTGCTTTTCCATGAACTTAAAAATATTCATTCAATTAATAAATCACTTTATTTGGGGCTATTACAGCTCTTATAACAATCCATACATCAATTGTATCAAACGCATTTGTACATATGTTGCCCTTATCATTTTCAAAACATTTTCTTTCTGCTTGAGCTCCCCCTCCATGAACTTTTAAAGCCCCCATGCATGCACTTGCATATATATGTGTGTGTATGCAGCTTTATGGGAAAATGAAATTAAAAGATAAATTGAATTTTTCCATGAAATTTGGAAGTTGCTTTATTTACACATGAGTGCGTATGAACACACAAAGGGGCTTCAAAAATTCATGGAAAGATGATATTGAAAGATAAAGGAATTTTTCCTTGAGCTTTTTGAAGCCCTTCGTTTATCCATGAAGCCATCACCACAATTAAGATTGGGGAGTCTTGGTGGTGCTGTGGGTTAGAAGTGAGGATGGTAACCGCAGGCTGCCTGTTCCTGTAAAGATTGATACTCAGAAACTATGTAGGATCGTTATGAGTTGGAAGCAACTCAATGACAGTGGGTTTGGTTGTAGGTTTTTCATCACCCCCAGAAGTTTCCACACAGTTTTATATAATAGAGTCATATGATAGATACTCTTTAAAAAAATTTTTTTTCAGCATAATTATTCTGAAATTCATCCATGTTGTATGAATGGATAGTTTATTCCCTTTTATTGCTGAGTAGTAGCCCCCGGTATGGATGCTTCATAGTGTGTGTATTCATTTGCCTATAGATTGAGTTTTGGGTTATTTTCAGCTTGGAGATTGAAGCAGTAGCATGAAGACACTCTCCTCTCACATCACGCAAATCTCTAACTGCACAAAAACCTCATCAGTGCCAACAGCGTCAGCTACACCCCAGGCTGGTTCCACTCTCCAACCATGCCACAGCATTCTCTGCTCCTCCACGAGGCTCCGTAGTCTTGTGCTGGCCACACAGAACTCATCGATGATCCTTTCGATTATGGGCTTATTGGGGAAGTTAACAAGTTGTAGTCTAGGTTCAGAAACGTTCAAGATACAGTTCTTTGGTCAGGACAGCCTCTTCCCATTCCTGCCCACAGGCATGCCTCTCTGTGGTCCCCTCTGTCTCAGCCACATGACCCACC